CAAGGGCATTCACTGGCACTCAATCACCCTGACACACACACATGGGAACATACACACACAGCAAACCATCTGCATCAGCACATCATGTGATTTAAAGACTGTTAAGACAAAGCAGGTGCAATAAATGTTACAGTCTAGGTTGTACGCCACAAAGCCAAGTTGCAGTTTATATCCATGTTTGTATGAAATGTCATCACTACATTATTTTGTCCCTTTGGATCTTTGTGTGAAATTGTGATAATTAACATAACATTAATTTAATTATGGACAAAAACATGTTTTAGAGGTCATGGCAATCTTGACCTTTGACCATTATCATGACCATTGGGCCAGAATAAAAACATGTAACCAAAGGCATTCCAGATATGAGAATGGTATAAATGTGAAGTCAAGGTGACCTTGACCTTTGACCACGAAAATATATTAAAAAAAACACGAAATACCTAGGAGAGCTGATCCGATTTTGGATGAGATCACTTTGACATCACAAATATCTGATCAGTTTCTTTTAAATCTACATTATCCGTTTTTTTTCATATATGTATTATTTTTGAAAATGTTTCCACTTATTTATTTATTTCTATTTGTATTATTCTATCTCAAGTTTTCTTTCTATGCTTTGGCTTTGTAGATACAGCTGAATGAAAATGAAAGAACTGTGGATAAAAGTGTGAATACATTTGTATAATCTGAAATATAAACTGTGAGAAAGTGAGAAAAACAAATTCACTGAAGGTGTTCCTGAGATATTGCATAAACAAAAGACACATGGACAAGCAAAAAAAACTTTGAAAAAATAATACCATTTATCAATTAAATGTGATGGGAACACACAGAACATAGTGTTGTAATGTGAAAAGGTCAATACATTTACATTTAAACATGGAATACATCCAATCACTAAGTATTGAGTATAGGACAACAGAGTACAGAGGACCACTTTCTTGCTTTATGTTTGATGTGTTTGTCTCTCTCCTCCTCTCTTGCTGAATAAGCCCAGCAGGGATCCAGATAAGAGTCTGTTATCTTTCTACCCGCCATCTCTCCTAATCTATTGGTTTTGTCTGAAGCGCTGAAGCCGTTCAAATCTGGCCTTGACTAAGTAAATTATGGCCCTGTTATATAATAAACCATAACGCAGGGTACGAGTTATGGCTAGGCTAGCTTGTGACTGTCAAGTTGCCACAACAGGGGCTTTACCCCGGTTTGTTTAGCGTTCAGTTGTAGGAAAAGACCCTTTAACAAGTCCACTGTTCATTATTACCGCGTACTGTAAGAACATTTATTTTTTACCATGTTTTTCACTAGCCAAAATATAGCATTTAAATGTACATTACCGCTGATTACGGATGCTCCTTGCTAACCAAGCTAGCTAGCTAGCACTTCTGTATAAATGTGCCAGAATATACAAGTTATTTTATTAGTTTAATCCTTAATAAATTATGTTGTAATACCCTCTTTTTGATATTGCATCTGTAATAATCAGTACACAGTGGTATGAATGAGTCTCAGGAGGAAAATAAGAATAATTATAATCCAATTAGACACATTCTACTCTATTTGCTACTCTGTGCTTGGACCAAGCCCACCCATTGTATTCAATTACCAGCACATAATGCATTCTGTCCTGTTGCCTTGGATCATCTAACTGCTGTATACTTCATGCTGTGGCTTGTTTACTACAAGTTGTAATATGCATTCTTCATGATGGTACTTCCATTTGGAGCCAAGATGGATGGTTGTCAACATGTCCACACTCTTCCCATACAGAAAGATGTCCATTCAACTCTCATTGACTTTGCCTTAGTTTGTGTATCTGGGTGTTTTATTGGCAGAAACATACTGTGGAAACTAAAAATACCAATGCTGCTGAAGTGTTTATGATACATACAGAAGATCCGGTATAACTCTGTCAATGTATTTGGCTCCATACTGTAGCTCGCATTATTTGTGTCAATATGTATGAAAAACACTTTAAAGTGCCTCCTCACCTACCGCAAACCTTCCCTCCGCTGTGTCTCATCTCAATTTGTCCTCTTTCTTCTGCAGCGGGTGCTACATCAAAGCACAGCGGGGTGACTGACAAAAAGGAAATGGTAGTGCCTATCCATATGGTGTTCAGTTACACACACACACACACACACACACACACACACACACACACACACACACACACACACACACACACACACACACACACACACACACACACACACACACACACACACACCACACACCACACACACACACACACACACACACACACACACACACACACACACACACACACACACACACACACACACACACACACCAGAAGCAGCGAGGGAAAAGATCTAACAGCCTATCTTTGGTGGACTGTAGCAGTCGCCCACATAAATGTCCGCTTGGCTCTGCTCTGATCACATAATTGCTCTGTGCACACCTCTCCCACACACACACATACAAAGAAGGAAAGTGCACATCCAGAGAGCATACACTGAAGCACACTTAGGGAGCTCACAAACACACACACACACTTAACATCTGGATATATACAACACCCACACATACAGTCCAATGTTAGATATGACATGAAGCGGAGCAGGTATGCCTGCCAGTGTACGCACACACATACACAGCAAACAAAAACTCCCACCAGCTCTCCCACACAGTCAGTATGTCGAGTGTGTGAAAGATAAAGACAGAAAAAGATGGGACTGAGCAAGAAATGCAGCAAAACAACAGAACAGAATTGTGTTGTATTATTTTTACTTGCTGCCTTTTGTCTATTTGTTGTCCAATTCCTGTTGGAGGTTTTGCGTCATAATATTTTATGTGGGTGGCCTCGACGCCATTTTAGCAAATTCCTTTACACCACATCAATAAATCATAGTAAAAGGCTGTTGTTCTGACCTTTGACTTTCTTTTAGAGACAACTTGTCCCAACAAGCAGGAATCTTAAAGCTTCTGCAAAACATACTATATTTACATTGTTGCTGAACATGAAATTATCATAAATGGGCCCCAATAAGTTTTCTTTCCACATTACAACTGTTGTGGATCATTAAAGGCCCAATCAAAATGTTATTTATATTTGTACATATATTATATATGTATAAATATAAATAAAATATATATATTTCTTACCTGAATAAACGTTATCATTCACAACGTAATAGGTAACATACAAGAAAAGGAAGAATACTTTTTTGGATCTTGTGAATTCAAGTTAGATTCCGGCATTTGAAGAAATGTGCTGTTTATCTTTCTTGCTGAGATTTATATAAGGAAAGGGAAACCAATTTCATGTCTGTACAGTAAAATAGCTAAGCTAGTTAGCTTAGCTTATCACAAAACACTGGAAAAAAGGGAAAATTCATATCCTAGTTAATAGCGTTCCATCTGAAGGTAACAAAATTAACCTCTAAAGCTTAATATTGAAAAAGACATATGTCATTTATACAAAGTTGCATTAAACTGTTTTGGTTAGGGCATCTCATTTGAAGATGCTCATTGACCGCCTGCTTATTCAGCCGAAATGCAGCGCACTCATTTCAATGAATGATGGGACTACAGTATTTGCTAGAATGCCTGAACACTGCTGCGTCCAAATCCATTTATGAAAACAAAGGGGGTTTGTGATGGACTTTTCCTCCAGCTGTCACCAGATTCTGACTCAAATGTTGCTAAATCCTGATTGGTGCACTAGAGTTTGTGATATGACCACCTTAAACCAGTAATAAGGGAGAACACAGAGAAAATATATGAATACACAACACTCTATGGTTAAATGTGTTACACCTTTGGTCAGACAATAGAGTGATAAGATCCCACCTCACATAGTAAGACAAACATTGATACAAATGGTTTTGAGGCCTTTATACATCAAATAGACCCGTGTATTTATTACAGTAGCTTGTTTAAGCCATGGGATGGTTTTCTTAGGCTGTGTGTGTGTAATTACAAAAGGATCTTTAAAGCATTGTTATGGTTGCCCTTCAATTCCCTCTATTAAACCACCAGGACCTGCACTCTCACTTAGAGGCAGGCAAAATAGGTAGCAGGATTACATTAGAAGAAAATCAATTCTATCTGGATTGTTATAATTAGATGACCTGAGTTTGCTAAAAAGTCGGTAAGTAATTTTCTCTGTTTTTATCACTTTCAAGACTTGGCAGTGGTGCATGACAATGAAATTACAAATGCTGTGGGTGATATTTATAATTACAAATGCTGTGGGTGATATTTATAATTACAAATGCTCTGGGTGATATTTATAATTACAAAATGTGTAGAACTGCAGATCAAGTATTCAGCGCAGCATGAATGACGATGTGCGAACACAAAGCAGCAATGTGTTTATATCTGTCACACATACTCCACTCACTATGCAGTACCATACAAAGTGTTATTGAGACTGCATGCCAAACATCAATAGACCAAATCACTGCCGCTTCGTGGAGCTGATCAGCAAGAAACAACAAATCGATCCCTGATAAAAGACCATCAGTCGATCTGTCATCAGCCGGATGCTGATACACAAATGAGCTAAACGGCAGCAACAATGACAGCAGCAGTAAGACAGTCAGACGGCTGATCTTTACACACCCTCAGCAGGAAAAATGAAATGCAAGGAAACAGAAGGATAGCAATCTGAGATCTGTTATGGAGTTTAGAGAGAAGTGGGATAAGAGAAAGGTAGAGTGGTGATGGTGAGAAAGAAAGAAATAGCAAAGTAGAAGTACATATTCCGTTGTGTCACGTCAAGAGGTGTCAATGCATCATGTAATACAAAAGGGAGAAGACATTTTTGGGGTAGTGTGAGTAAAAAACAATATGTTGCATAGTCATTGTATTCGAGAAAACACTGAAGAGTAACGAAAATATGTAAAAAAAAAAGGTAATATCAGTAAGAGGCATAACAAACGACTTTCGAGGACAGAAAGTCTCATTTTCAACAAAACGACACAGCTGGGGTAGCGCTCGTAGACAACAAACACAGAGGCTGTTCCTCCTACCTGAGTTCCTCTTGGAGATGTACTTGACATCGTCACAGGCTCCCAAGGCGAGGAGGAGGAGGAGGAGGAAGAGGAGGGATAAAGAAGTCATCTCTCTAGTCTCCCCTGGTACCTTAAGAGAACATTTGAAAGTTTTAGAGAACCATAGCATGTATATTTCTTATTTTCATTGGCAATATCAGGAGAACACAACCCAAACAGACAGAGATCATAGATTGAAGTGGACGTGGTTAATGTGATGTCCATTAGTTTGTGGAGTGCCGTTTTGAAGCATTTTGAATGGCATTTTGATTCGTCGCAATCTGATTTTTGAAGCCATCTGGTTTATGGAGCCAGATGTGACTTAACAGGGTGAAGCTTAGTACAACCCAATAATGGAAAAGATGAAAAAAGGTGAACAAAATGTTACAATTAACTTTTATAAACTCACAAAAAGCTGTGAGGAGTTAAAGTTCCAAGATAGAAAGACACCCAAATAACGCTGTGGTAGCAGATTGTCACAAGCTAGCCTACACTAAAGAATGATCTCTTTTATCTTCCAATACTGAAAATTGAACCATCATTTTACAACATATTATATTGAAGAAGTTAGGAAACTAGTGATTGAGCCCATCCAGATATATACTGTTAACACAATTACAAGAGACACTATCATAACAAAACACTTTATTACAAGTATGGCCATGATAAAAGCACAACACATATTAATATTGATCTGAAACGCAGGTACTCGTGCTGCTTTTGAAAATATCAACTGATTAAATTCACAATACAAAAACTGAATTAGATTCGACCATAGGCCAGGAATTACAAAGGCTGCAGAATGTTTTACACACACACGCAAACACGCACGCATACAATCACACACACACTCTTTGAGCCAACAATGTGAAATCACACTGATAGACCACAATCCGATTTTTCTTATGCTTTTGTGTACAAACGGCAGTGTATGTTCACACACAGACACTCACACACACAACCAGGGAGAGATCGAAGAAGCAGATTAGCCATGCCAGCAGTTATTTCATTGTATTTGACACACATGTGAAAATAAAATAATGGGAACTCAAAATCTATCTTGACTGCTGATTGAAATCACATTTGATTCACATGAGCAGTGGGACAGTCCGTGATAGATCCTAGTGGGGTGTAAATTTGTGAGCCACAGTTATTTGCCTTTAAAGTAGGACAATGAAATGATGGGATGGGGATCTAAAACTGGAACCAAATTGATGTGAAGAACAAAGCCGAGAGAACAAAAACATGATAAAGGATAGTGTACGATGTTGCCAATAGCAGTTGTAAAATCTTTATCTTTGCTGGCTTTAAAGGCATCTGGCCTTTCATCACTTGAAAGGACAGTCATTTTCTTTGTCTGTTAACCTCCTAATGTAGTGTGTCATGCCATCATCTTGATAGTGTCACAGGTGTATCTCAAACCATCGTTATAAAAACAACACCAAAGTAAGGAAATCATTTCTGATTGGTTGAGTGAAGGTCAAAGCCACAGCATCTTTACCAAGGTCTGAACAATGTTTAATATCTCTAAAAGTAAGAATCAGATTTAAAAGTTGTGTTACATGAATAATGTCAGAAAGATGTGTAACATTTTAAAGTTGTAATGAGGTTTCTGAGTGAAAGTATGAAGGAGCAGTTAGCAGTTGAAGAAGGAGCAGTTAGCAGTTGAAGAAGGAGCAGTTAGCAGTTGAAGTTGCATGAAGATTTGTTGAAGTCTGAAGTGTTTCTCCATTGACTTCAATGGTTAAAAATGTGATGTATTATGGGATGTATCTCTGGAATTATGAAAGTTATGAATGATAAAAGTAATAGCCATCGATTCCCGACCGAGCTGAACATTTTGATGTTTGAACGGCGATGTTCAATGTGGGAGAAGAAGAGGCGCAAAATAACCCAGCGGAATAATAAAGAATTTTGTGCGTAGCATAACAGATACTGTAGTTGGAATGCTGTGTAAGCATTCCCACTAAATCAGCCATAGTTAGTTACCTGAGTTGTCCCTTCTTGGTTGCTTATTAAAAGGCCAATGGTCCTCTCTCTTTCAAACTGTAAGTCTCGTCGTATCAGTAAGCAGTATGCGTATCTTTAAAGTATCAGGGCCCTGACATAAAACAGTGGAGCATAATACTTTCATTTAAATTGCATTAATATAAAAGTATTATGCAGTACTGCAGTTCAGTGCTTTTAGTTTGGAGGCTTGGCTGCAAGCTAAGTTTCATATCTTGAATATACATACATCTCTTGCTTTTACAGAGCAATACAACATGAGGCCTGCCAAAACAATACAGCATTACCGAGCTAACATGGTTGCACACATTGAATACCAGAAACAGAACATATCTGCTTTTGCACTTTGAAAGTTTAAAAGGTGTACCTTTACTTTCAGCCATTTATAAGTTATTTTACTTTACCAATGGCATTCTCATTGGAAGCCAATATGGAAAGAAGTAAACTAAATAAAGCAGTATTCTGACAAAAATAAATGTGTGATAATAAAGTATGACTTCTTAAACCCCCTCGGTGCCTGTTACGGCTGCTGTTTCTGTCTGCTCGTTAACCTGTTTGGGATTGTTTGCAGCTGTGTGCGTGTGATATGTAAATGAGCTGTGTGGTTGCCCCAACGTCATTGGCTGTCATCTCCTGGTCCACCTCCGAAGACACTGATTGGAGCACGCCGGGCCCAACGTTCTCCAATCCCCGTGCAAGCCCAGCGCACACCTTCCGGAGAGGACTACAAAGCCTGGGGACAATTATCACTCGGGAGGCTCTGCTGCGATCAGACGCCTCATACAAAATGCTCTTGTGTCGTGGACACTACAGACTGTGTTTGGTGTGACAATATATGTGCCTAGTGTCGTGTGTTGATATATGTGTTTAAAGTGTTGTGTTTAGTTTCTTCTGTTAGCTGTGTTTTCCTGCAGCTCCTTCCATTAGTGCTGATTGGAAGTGATCTCAGGTGTGTAATTAGGCTCACTTTTAGAGTCCTCTTTCTGTTATTAGCAGTAGACCTGCGCCCTTTTGGCTTCTTTGTTTAGCTTTCTTAGCATCACAAGCTGCAGTCAGTCTGCAGACGTCACAGGAGAAAACAGGTTATGTTATACTTCAGCAGAACACGCTAAAATGAGCTGTTGTCTTCAGGTAAAGATAGTGAGGCAGGCGCTCTGACAAGCAACACTGAGACAAATCAAAGCATGAGTCAGTCTTATGGGGGAAGTGCTTATCAGGTTCTTTTGGAAAAGTCGAAACAAAAACAGAAAGAGAATTACCAATGGACTTCGGCATCGAGACCTTACGTTTTTGAGACATAAACACCTAGAAATAGGAATAGGTTACATCATCAAACCTTGTGAGGAAACGTATATTTTGCTCTACCACCTCCACAAGTTGTTCAGGGTCAGCTACAGAATAGAAGCCATGCAACATGGATTCCAAGTCTTGCTAAAAGCAAATAGTTTCTTAAAATATGGTGCACGGGCCAATATTGGCGTCCAAACGCGATGTGAAATGCATTAATTATTGTTCAATGATTCACAGTTCTTTTCAATTGGCCATATCTGAATACAGGTGGACTCAGAGCTAAAGGAGTTTACTGTCATACAGAACCACAACAATTAATGATTGGTTTTGGAATAATGGGTCCAAAACATGTGTTAAGACTTTAGATTTTTATAAATAAAACAGTGTATCCTACATTCTGAATGTATCTAAAGAAGTCTAAAAATACAACAGTCAGTTTCAGGCTGTGTGGTCTATTAATTTGTTTGTGCTTTTATAGAAACAAATTATAATTTCAGAAAAGGTTAAACTGAGCTTGAAGGCAACTTTCTCTCATCAGTGCATTGAAAGCCATGCCCATTATGCTAGTTGATCTAACAGGAATGTGAGTGAGTTCACTTGAGGTGACCGGTTTCCCCATGTAGAGTTTTCCATGTAAGAAAAATATTTTCAAAGCTATAAGGAAGGCACTGAGCAAAGAAAACAGGAGCTGTAGGTATTTTATCATGTATAATTTCATAACTCAGTTCACCTTGAGGATACTACAAGTCTTTATATTGCTCTCAGACACATACTTACTTTTTCATTCACTCTCACAAGCACATTAAGCTGTACTTCTTTCACGCAAGCTTGCTCATAGAGGCTGCAGTCTTCCTCTTACACTCGGTAAGGCCTCCTCATCACTAAACACTGAGCTCTCTTTATCTTGTCTTCTCTGTTGGCCCTTCTGCACTGCCTCTCACACACACAACACACACAAAGGTCAGTCTCCCTCTCGCCTCTTTATTCCACACATGAACACTGACACACTTGCGAAGACAGCAGCGGCAGCTTGTTTGATGTTTGATCCACCATGAATGCAAGAATGGAAATGGAATCTCATGGAATATATTACTGTGGGTACAAGTGTAGAGGTGAAGGGATACATGGAGGGAAATGGTGTTTGAAGGTAACCCTAATGACCTACAGAATAATAATACATGCCATAACATAGAAGAGATAGAAAAGGAATAAAGAAAGAGAGTGGACGTACGCTTTGGATGAGAGTGGGTTAAACGTACACACTTATAGAGAGAAAGAGCAGAACAAACATTAAAATCCCCCATGGCTTTCATTCCCTGCTTTTGCGTCTGTCCATCTCTGCTAATGATAGTACAACACCAGAGCACAGGGAGATCTAAGCAGGGTCAGATTGTGTATAATGCAGAAACCGTCACACATTACATGCACAGAAAAAAATCTACATTTATATTGGCATGAATTTGTGGTCTGGTTATTCAGTCAATCAAATCCTCGGAGTTCCCCAAGGATATATACTGGGGCCAATGTTCTTTGTTGTCTGTTTTTAAATGATAGCTTGGTTGTGGGATTGTGTGAGTAACTTTTCCATATTCATTGTATTACCTACAATAGATCGAAGGAATCATGCAACAACTTTGGAGAAACAGACAGGATTTCCAGTACAGAAACCAAACAATATACTGCTGAGGTCAGGGGCAGCAAAAAGACACCAAAAAGACTACACTACGTTAAGATTTCTTTTTTTACCTTAGCCTTGCTTTCAGGTAAACCCTT